CTTGGATTTCCGCTCCCGCTCCCGCCCGCGCCCGTCCGGCCTCCCCTGCTCCGACTCCACCGTGAGCAGCCTCGGGCCGGCAGCCGAGCACCCACCCGCACCTCTCTGGCTGCGCAGAGCGCGCAATTCCAGCGGTGACGCCGGGGCTTGCAGACACCCCGGTTACTGTTGCACTCTCCGAGCCTTGGCGCCTCAGTCTCAGAGCAGACCCCCGCCCCACACACAACTTCCGTCCGGGACAGCTGTCTTTCTACACGCCAGTCACAACTGGACCAGCTCTGGTCGCGATTACGGAGCCTCAGGGCCTCCTTCCAGGCGCCGCCGCCGTACCCAAGGGCTCCTAGGGGTTTTGGCCAAACTCGTCCCGGGGCGGAGGTGAACCCCAACCCCTCGCACACCCCAATAGCTCACTCTAGAGTGGGCCTACCGCCCTAGTTCCAATACAGAGATGCTACCGTCTATCGTGAGGACATGTGTGTGGCTTTTCGTAGGATCCGGGTAAACTGTAAAGAAAAGCCATCTCCAGGACGGATCCTTAGCCAACGGAGGACACCCAGCCCACCGCGATAGTTCTCTGAGGGAAGGTCAGGTTTTTCCCACCTGACACCTCAAACGTGTCCCCAAATGCATGCCGCCTGTGTGAAAGTGGGTGCGCCGACATCCAATTAGCACGTACTTAAAGAGTCCAAGGGATTTATTTGTAGGAAACCCCCCAACTTCCCCTGCTCCAAACAGAACCAGAAGTCTGGGAGAGGCAGCCCCACTTTTGCCATGGGCAATTAACGTTCGGGGTTTGGAGGAAATTCCCTAAAATCTTCTTTCCTGTCCCCACACCCACGAAAGTGCACCTGCAAGGGCCAAGGGCCTGGAAAACCAGCACACTTCTTTGTGCCTCGGTTTGCCCTTTGGTAAGACAAGGAGGATCAACTCCCAACATCTGGGTCCTGGGTGGATTTGTCAGAGCAACCGAGACTGCAGTGGAGACACTTGGTGGTCGTGCGCCTGCGAGGAGACTGCATCGAAAACAATGGTGGGGATGGAAGTGGAGGCAGGGAGTGCAGGCGACCTGGGCTCAAAGCTGTACACAGTGCAGCCGAGTGTAGGGTAGGGCAATGGCCTGTGCTGGCGAAGCCCAGAGCCAGGAAGGCCGGCCACCTCGGCTCCACTGAGGCCTTTCAAGGAGCACCTTCTCAGGAACTCGAAGTTCGCCAGGCAAAAGCAACTGGGGCCCAACCTACCCCCAGGAGCTGGTGGCCACGGCCCATTCCTTCGTGGAAGGCTCAGGTGGCCAGGGAAAGATTACAGACTGCCAGACCAGCCTGCGGCTCTATTCTTTGAACAATGGGCGTGGGGGGGGTCCTACTCTCAGACTCTTCCGAGCCAACTTCCTGTCAAAGCCAGGCACCTTCTGGGGGAAGGGGTGGGGGGCAGGAAGGAGATGAAAGAGCCCCGCCTCCACGTCTACAGCCCTCCAGCAGGGACCTGATTTCTATTTAGCCGCGTTTGCCCTGAGCACTGCTTTTTGAAACCGGAGGAACTCGGAGAGGGGTGACGTGGGAAAGGGAGAGAGTGCAGGATGGGGAGAACCCGAAGGAAGGGCAGGGCCTCCACCCCCACATCTGGATTGGTGCCGTTTTCCGTTATATGTAGGTACACACAACTCCGCTGCGCCGAGAGGCTGGAGTAGGGAGCACTCCAGGCGGGTTTCACACAACTGCAAATCGAAACCAGGTCTGGTTTGAAAGGAGGAGGGACTGGCCCCC